GCTTTAAAGATTTATAGTTAAGACATAATATATGAGAAGATTTTTTGCTGTATGTTTAGAGAAAGGTATAAGTTACTGATAAAGAAAGTAAAGGAAGATGTAGTTGATTTGTTTAAGGTTAAATATATATCTTATTAGTGGTGGGATTCAGCCAGTTCTCACCGGTTCATGAGACCTAGTAGCTAACTTTCTGAGCAGTTCGGTGAACCAGCTGTTGGAAGAAATCTCCTTCCAACAGCCTTTTGTTTTTCCCACCTTATGGGATTAATCCTGTCAGGAAAGCAGGAAGGAGGTGTTCTGGTGTGCCTCTATGTGTTGTTTCTAGCCTACTCCTACTTACCTTTATTGCCCTGCTTAAGTGTTTTCCAAAACTGCCTCTGTGGTTAAGTCTTGTTACATTGTAACAGCTGTTAATGGTTCTTGACAGTACACCCAGACTTTCTATAGCCTGAGTGGCTTCTCTGGAGTTCCCCCACCCCCTTTGCTGGTACTTTTATTCTGGGGCTTCACTTTCTTAAAGGGGAAGGATTGTTTTAAATTTTTTACACTGCTTTAGTGGTTCCTGGAACTGTCCTTTTGGGGTGTACTTTCAACATGGCTAAATCCCCTCCCAGACATTTCTTGCCTCTTCCATCCATAATTAAGGGTGGGAGGGGATGATCACAGAGCTCTTTCTTTCCTGGATTCATAATATTCTCTAAATGGAGCAATCTAGTCTTTGGCTTCTTTGCTTGTTTGTTACAAAAAAGGGGGGCTTTGGGAGATCTTCTCCCCCCTCCCACTGGGAAAGCAATGAGGTAATCTTTCCAGAACACCACTGCCTGCCTGATCGAGTTAAGCAATGGCTGTGAGGCAGGGTGCAAGCTTGGCACTGATTTTATTTTTACTGCCTTTCTGGGGGCATGTAATCTTTCTTTAAATCTGGATGATTTCCTCAGGATATCTTGTGAGGTGAGTGAGACCAGCTGGTGTCTTTAAATGGTGCAAATGGATATAAGGATTGCTTCTGGGTGGGGAGATGATACTCTGTCAGTTCATTGAGCACAAGAGTCTCTTGTCTATGGGGAGTCTTTAGTCATCCAGGTAATGGTTGTCCCAAAGGTGCTTTTTTCAAGAGGCAACTTGACATTCTTGGTTTCCAGAAAGTCCAGTTGCCTCTTAAAAAAGCACCTTTGGGACAGGAGTCTCTTTCATTGCTTTGGAGTGGCCAAGGCACATGACTGCTCAATGACAGTAAGATTTTTTTAAAAAAAGAAGGTAGGGGTGTGGATCCTCCCTCCAATTTGTTTTAGTTTTCTCTCATGATAATAAAGTTTAGTAACATGGCACCAGGCTTGAAGTTTATTTAGATATCTATGACATGTACTAATTTTATTGTGATCCTGACAAGCTTGGGATGGCAGGGACTTGAACCTGGGTCCTCCATATACTTTGTTAATTTGTCTCTTTAGCTCGGCATTTTGTAGTAGCCCACCCACTTTCTGGAGAGTTTAAATGACTTCTCCGCTAAAGGGCTTCACTTTATGAGCAAGAGTTGGCTGCTGATAGTTATTGTTGCATTTTAACAATTTTAATTCCTCAAGGTGCTCTGGCACCCTGTCTGATTTGTAACTCCAGATTGTAGGTATTGCTGATGAAAAGGAGGGTAATTGGATAGAATGGTTTAGGTTTCCATGATGGCTGTGACTGTCATTGTATTCCAATGGTGGGATTCAATTTTTTTTTACTACCAGTTCTGTGGGCATGGCTTCATGGGTGTGGCAGGAGAAGGATACTGTAAAATCTCCATTCGCTCCTGTCTCCAGGGGGAAGGCTATTGCAAAATCCCATTCCCTCCCCACCCCACTAACCTGCTTTCCAGATCCGTTCTCCTGTGCAGGGCAACAAAAGAAGACCCAGCCGACTTCCGGTTTGAAGGGCTTCGGCGACAGACAGGAATCCATGATCGTGCGCGGTTTCTGTCTGGGCTCGCCGCTGGAGCACCCCGAGCTGGCTGGTTTCGGGGCTAAGCCACCCCGTAGAGGTGGTGAAGAGGGGGGAGACCGCCAGCAGGGTCGAGGAGAGCTGCATCTCTCCTCCTCAGCTGGCCATTACTCCCTTTCCCGAAGGCGGTAGGAGTGGTGGTCAGAAATGGCCACCTCAAAGAAGAACTCAACTGGAAAAGAACATGCAGGAGGAAGATAAGAAGTGAAAGTTTTGGCTGACTGGGTTAAGTCAAAAAAGCAACAACTAAGGTACCCTGGAATTTAAATTTTACAAAAGATAACATCGCTCCCAAAGAAGAGTCGGAAGCAGCAAAGAAAGTGAAAAGGGAAAGGTTTGGCTTTTTTTTTCTTCTCTCTCCTTCCTTACATTGACAACTAAGAGACCTAAATAAGAAATCGGAAAAATCCGCTTTGGCATCAATAGGCAATTAAGCTGAAAATATAACTAAATGCCAAAGGGACAATAAAGATTTCTGGACATTAAAAACTTTTTCTTCTATAAGCAGGAAGGGAGGGAAAAAGAATAAGGGCAGGATCTGGAAGAGGGAGGAGACTGCCTGGATTTCAAAAGAATCTAAAGTAAAATTTCAATAAGACTTCTAAAAGATACATTTTAACTGAAACTTTGCAACTAAATAGGAACCCCAGGAAGAGAAAGTGAAAAAAAAGAGAAAGTGTAAAAAGAAACAGCTTGTGTGTATTTGGATTGCTTGGTGACTTTGGGATTTTTGGTTATTATATTTGAATGACTAAAACCAATTGGGTGGTTGTTTAAAAATTTTACAATGGCATCACTTCTGGATGAATTGAAAATGGAACTTAAAAAATACAAAGAAGATGCACAAGAAGGGAAGGGCTCTTTTGGCTTCGTTTTTCAATTCTTAGAAATGGAGATTTGGAACTATGAGAAACAACAAGAAAAGACTGCAAAACAACAAGACTGGGACAAAGAAGAAGCCATCTTTAATGAAAAAGTAACTCTATGTGGGGAAGAAAAAGGAAACGGGGGGGGGGAGAGAATCAAGAATTTAAGACTTAAAAAAAACAACCAACGAAAAGAAAAATAATTTGAAAAATAAGTATAATGCTGGAAAGCAACAGAAAAGGGGAATACAGAAGAGGGAAATAGAGGTAGAGAGACAAAGGGGTAAAAAGGGGAGAGAGAAGAAGGAAAGGAAAAGAAGTTACAAAGGTCCGGAGCAAGTTATAAAAAAACAGGACCTATTTAGAGATAATGGGTGAAAATCTAACTGAAAAAGGGATTCTGTAAAGGTACATAAGATTGTATTGTTATATTTGTAATAGAAATAAGTTTAGAAAATTGGAAACAACATATGATTAAAAAGAGGGATAAAATAGTTAGTGTAATTTAGTGAAATGTTCGTGAATAAAATAAATGAAATAAAATAAATGAGAAAATTGAATTAGGAAGGAACGGGAACATTTTAATTAGTCAATGTTTTATAAAATATAAGTGAAGGGGGGGGGAATTAACTATGGAAAATTTATAATTGTTCCCATAGAAGTATGATATTTATTTGAAAAGTAACGTGAAAAATGTTAAGATTTTAATGAATATTAATATTAATGATAGAATTGAATTGGAATGGATTGTTGTTTTAATTATATTATACATTTATAATTTTTTCTTTTTTCAAGAATACAGTGTGTAGTTTAAGAATGTACCAAGCAGAATCCGAATGGAAGTTATGTATTATATTGAGTGTTATAATTTTAGGGGAAAGATATAAAGGCATCATACTCCAATCAGTAACTACAGGAGAAATTTTGTTTAATGAGAAAAGATAATAGACAATTGAAACAGGACAGACAAAAATATAAATATAATGATTTGAATTGAGATGAAATAAATAAAATAAAATTGAGAAAATTAAAAGAGGGGAGAAGCTATGTAGAAAATGTAAAATAGAAATAAGATATGGAATGGAATATAAAAATGAGCATGAACTTGAATTTGCGTCTGTACGAAGAAATGTAACCCGGGATTATGCTGCTTTCAAAAAAGATGTTTTACTTGTATTTCTTTTCTTTTTGTGAAAACCCAAATAAAACTTACAAAAAAAAAAAAGAAGACCCAGCCAATCAGCTGGGACTTGGGAGGCAGAGAAGAGATGAGGGTGGGGCCAGTCAGAGGTGGTATTTGCCGGTTCTCCGAACTACTACTGGTTCCGCTACTGGTTCTCCAGAACCAGTCAGAACCTGCTGAATAGCACCTCTGGTGTACTCCTCCATTTCTAATCTAATGATTGGTATTTAGGGAAGCTTTTTGCAAGCAAAGAAGCTTTTTGTATTTTTGTACAGGTAATCCTTGACTTACAGCAGTTCATTTAGTGACCATTCAAAGCTACAATGGCACTGAAAAAAAGTGACTTATGAACATTTTTCACACTTACGACCATTGCAACATCCCCATGGTCACATGATCAAAATTCGGATGGTTGACAACTGTCTCACATTTATGACGGTTGTAATATCTCAGGATCATGTGATCTCCTTTTGCAAACTTCTGACAAGCAAAGTCATTGGGGAGGCCAGATTCACGTAATAGCCATGTTACTAACTTAACAACTACAGTGATTCACTTAACAAATGTGGCCAGAAAAGTTGTAAAATGGGGCAAAATTCACTTAATAAATTTCTCACTTAGCAACATAAATGTTGGACTCAATTGTGGTCATAAGTCAAGGAGAGGCCAGGCAAGAAGAGGAGAGGCTGAGCATGACAAGGAGAGGCTGGGAAGGGAGGGGAGGGGTGAGACAGGGCTGGTCATGGTCAGGAGAGACCGGGCGAGGTAAGGTTCCCCTCGACATGAGTGACATTATGTTGGCCATGACTGCCCAGTCACATGATCACCCAGCCACGCCCACCCAGCCAGTCATTGGGGCAGGGAACCGGTTGTTAAATTATTTGAATCCCACCACTGTTCTTTTTCCTTCATAGATTTTTGCTGATTAAGAATGAAGCCAAAATTTTGGAGCAGATTGGTTTACTTACATTTATCTCATAACCCTCAGATAAATTTGCAGAATAAGGAGTCGTCCTTACGGCCAGGTCAACTATACATATCAGGATACTAGTTAATGCCATGATAGCACTTGCGATATTCATTCCTATACTTGATTTCACCTGAAACAACAATAAATCAGAAGGAGAGAAATTATAGTGTCATCCTAGATATTATTAAATTCAAGCCATAAAAATGATGACACTCAACTATGGTAAAATCTATCTATGTATCTGCTTAATGGTGCCTAATCCATCAGTGGTGAAACCAGACAACTTTCCTTAGACCGTCCCTCCCTAACTCCTCCTTCCTTCCTTCCTTCCTTCCTTCCTTCCTTCCTTCCTTCCTTCCTTCCTTCC